AACCTGAAAGTAAAACTACAACACAATCACAGTTCTTGTCACCATCATGTAGCTATATATACATATATGTCCCAATAGTGCTCTATATATTTACATTAGAAATAAATGAAAGTCTATTGCAAAGATAACTGACATGTATATAGAAGTGTCTGTAAATAATCTGTGCCTTTAAAACCAGACAAACATTTGACATATAGATACCATAAATTATAAGAAATTAACTTACTGTTCAATATTGCCAACATCAAAACCTACCATTGCATTTACTGTAATACAGTTTAAATCATAACCTTACTGGAAAAAAAAAACATATTAGTATTATTAAAAATAGTCCTCACAAAAATATGTCAGTAACATTAGGAAGTGGTTTGAACCACCCCTTCAGGATATAAAATTAAATAAAGAGTAGAAATCAAATTCTCAAATGCAAACTATAACATTCATCAAGCAACATGCTTCAACTCTATGAATGGAGACAGCCTGTACCTCAGAAACATTAGCAACATGTCCATATGACCAAGAACAGAACTGACATCAAACTGAGGCAGTGCAAAACCTGAAGTTCCTCAGGGTTCAGTAACTGGATCCTTATTTTTTCTCATATACACCCTCTTTGTGCATCAATGGTCTACTCCCAACCAACAATTCTCAGTCCAAACCTGTACGGTTTCCTGATGATATTACAATTATTATTAATTATCCTGAAAGTAAGTACCTTCAAATTTGCATTAATGATCTCTTTACTCAGTTGAACGGGCGGTTTAAAGCAAATTACATTTTTTACAAAACAAAATCCATTAAATATGTTGTATTTGACATTCTCAAACAGTGAAGAGTACTATCTTGTGACATGTGACGCCATGTAGCCTAGCAGAAGTTTATCAGTGTTTCAAAGTAATACACACCTCCATACTATGAAGGGTCATATGAAATGTAAATATAGTCTATTCTATTCTATACTATTCTGCTATACTTTGTGTCAGACAGAAGGGAACATACAGAAACTTGAAAAAACAAGATAAGAGACCAGAATTCTGCAGCTTTCAGACAAAATAACAGTGAGATTCGGGGAACTTATATGTTAATTCTGAGGGTTACAATGCCTGCAGAGAAAAGAATTTAAAATATAACATTTTAGGCCAGGATAATTAGCAAGTACTTTAAACCATTTCAAGATCAAATTTATTTCTAGGTCAACTGCAAGGTAGGAATTTTACAGCACATAAGAAATTATGTCTACTATTGCTTTAAAACATAAATTTGAAGGAGGCTTTTGGTTTGATCTGCTTCAAAATGAATAGAAAGAGAAAAATTATTACCTTGCACACACCGTTAGTACTTCAGGCCGTGCCATAGCTCAAGCAGTTAGTCGCTGGCTTCCCACCACGGCGGCCCAGGTTCGATCCCGGGTCTGGTCAAGTGGGGTTTGTGTTGGACAAAGTGGCGCTGGGGCAGGTTTTCTCCGAGTGCTTCGGTTTCCCCTGCCAATCTTCATTCCACCAATTGCACCACAGTCACCCTCACCTATCATCTGGGGTGATACAATAGGCCAGAAGTGGTCGCAGTACAAGGAACTTAGACCCACCCTACTAGCACTAAAAAAAAATTAGTACTTGAGAACTGAAACAGAATGCAATACAGAGTTGCAATCCATGTGATGACATAAAATTAAACTACATATTGCTTCAGACTTTCGAAAAGTTAGCACTGTTTACTAAGAGAATTGAATTGAATTGAATTGAATTTATTTACATTCTATAAATCCTAAGCAGGTTAGTACCTTTGGATACAGAACAAGTCAAAATGTTACATACATAAGTACAGGCAATTTTAGCTTAAAAATTAATATAACTCAATTTTACATCATTCTCTATTTACATTGAAGTATTCATATAAAGAGTAGAAGGAATGAGCATGTAGATAATTCTTTAACTCTGATTTAAACTTTTTAGTATCATTGCCCAAGTTT